AGTTTTTAGCAGCATTTTCTACTTTTGCAGCCTGACATAAGTGCACCTGGGGTGGACATTCTAGCTGCATGGTCGGAGGCCACCACAGTGACGGGCTACGCAGGAGATAAAAGGGTAGTTAAATACAACTTCGACTCTGGGACATCCATGGCTTGTCCTCATGCTACGGGTGCAGCTGCTTTTGTTAAATCTTATAATCCTACCTTGTCCCCTGCTGCTATCAAATCGGCACTTATGACGACAGGTAACTAATTACTGGATCAAGAACTAGGTCAAGAAAATGTCTTGTGCTCATTAATTAGAGCAGGCTGAAATGTTATGTGAAGAGGATCCTACATGTACAAAATGATTGAAAAATTATACCCTCTTCGTTAATAATTACTTAGGCCCTGTAGCCCTCCAGTTTTTTCATAAATTTTCCTTGCTCTTCTTGCCCACTTAAGAACGTGAGTGCAAATTCTAAACAATCTAAGAAAATGTTCATCATGCTGGCTACGTGTGTGACTTTCTTTACCGTTCTCTGTACAGCAACAATTATAAGTGCAGAAAGGGATGTAGATGCTGAATTTGCTTATGGATCTGGTCAAATAAATCCCCTGAAAGCTATCCATCCCGGCTTAGTTTACGATATAGAAGAGGCAGATTTCGTGAGTTTCTTGTGCGGTCAGGATTACAACATCACAACTCTGCAACTCATCACCGGTGATAGCAGTGTTTCTTGCAGCAAAGAAAAGAATATATCAGTCTGGGATCTGAATTACCCTGCATTTACACTTTCTACCCCTTCTGGACTAGTCACTCGGGTTTTTCGCAGGACCCTCACAAATGTTGCCGATGTTGGATCAACTTACAAGGCAACTATTACTTCTGCACCTGAACTAAACATTCATGTGAATCCCGCGGCTCTTTCCTTTGAATCTTTTGGGGAAAAGCAGTCATTTACCGTGACAGTTACAGCAAATGTTACCAAGCATGTAACTTCAGGCTCTTTGGTGTGGGATGATGGGGTGCATCAAGTTAGAAGCCCCGTTGTTGCAACTTCTTTCCAAAGCGCCAGGGATGAAAATTTTATTGGTAGTCTCTTGAGTGGAGAATCTTCATATGAAGACTTCCACGCTCCTTCGTAAGTATTGAGGGTACCATTGTTTAAGAACTACTACATCCATCCTAAATCTTCTACTAAATAAAAATATGGTAGCAGTAATATCATACATGCATGTGCAGAGAGAACAAAATTGAATGGCTAGTAGTTTCTGTTACAGGGGCACAAAGTCTCCATACATGAAGGCATAAAAAATTGTTCTCCATCCATGAATACCATGATTATGGGTCTTTCTTGGCAAAGCAATGAACCAGGACTCAATGTGTAGTACCTATCATAGCTGCAGGTAGAGGTGGCAATTTGTCCCAAGTCCCAATGGGTTACCCATGCCCATTGAGACTTTGGGCGGGATGGGTATTGAAATTTAATATTGGGTTTAAAATGGGACAAATCCCAATTGTACCCATTAATTGATGGGAAATTTTGGAAAATGCTTGGGTACCCATTGGGCTCAAATAGCAAGGGCTCCGTTTGGATTAACTATTTTTTAGGGGTGTTTTTGAAATATTTTATTGTATTAGTGTATATGAAAAATTTTTACTATAAAATTTTTTTGAAATATTTGATATACTAATATGGATGAAATGTTTTTTGAGTTATTGTATATTACTGTAACATTGTATTTGAAAAACTTATTTTTTGAAAAAATAGCCAATCCAAACGGAGTCTTAGATTCAAAAATTATCTTTAACAATTTTTATAGTCATGATTGTATATCTATCTTTTCCTTTATTTGTTAATCCAATTTTTAGTGATAATCCTGAGTATAAAGCACTTGCATGTTTATTTAATAAAACTAAAAGAAATTTAATAAATCAAAAATATTAAAATTATATAAAAAATAAAAAAATAAATTAAAGAAAAAATATATATAGAAAATATATTTGGGTATTGGGCGGGATCAATCTAAACCCATCCCAAAGTGATCCCGCCCAAATTAGTCCCAAAACATATATGGGTAAGGTTGGGCCCAAACCCATATGACTCGGTTCCATCTTAAACCCAAGCAAATCCCGCCCATCCCGCCCATTTTGCCACCTCTAGCTGCAGGTTGTGATGAATAATACTTGAACTTGAACAAGTAGAGTCCAATATTAAATTTCATAGTTAGGGGCTTTCTTGATGAATAATCAGATAACCGTTATTGTTAATAATCTGACATTTTAAAGTGAAAAAAAAAAAAAAATCAGTGCAATGAATTCTTGCAGAATCGAGACCTTCTAAACCCAATTAGAAAACATATTTTTTTTCAACAAACGTCAATATTGGTATATATATATATATATATATATATATATATATATATATATATATATATATTTTAGCACTTGAAAGTACGAGAGTTAATTACAAAAAGCGGCCTCAGCCCTCCTATCATTTTCTGCAGCTGCTTCTGTTAGCCAAACTAGAAAGTTATTTTTCTCATTCTATGTCATTAACTAGTTTTGTTGCAAAATGTGCTAGCGTATGACTTCTTACATTAGCTGATCTAGATACAAAAAGGAACGTGCAAAGCTCAAAACTTTTTGCAAAGTCATCAACACATGAGCAATGTAGAAACTGATTTTAAGAACCAAATTAGGAATTTTTTGGTAATTAAGGAAGTGTTCTTGTAGGGCACAAGTAATTGCCATAGGACAGATATTATTTGATTTGGATACAACCAATTTGATTGAATCTAAACCAACATTCATGTTGCTTTTGTATCATCTTCTTTTTCTTTTTCTTGTAAGGAAAATAGTACAAAGCATCCCTTATATTTCGTAAAAAGAATTTTAACATCTTTCATATTTAAAATGCTAATTGTATATATTGCTCACAAAAACAAATGACCAAATCTCCAATTTTGATCACCTTTTAAAGAGGGGCAAAAACAAAAAGCAAGAAAAAGCGAGAGACTAAAGCTGAAACTTATGAAATTTCATTTGTCATTTCGTAGGTCTTTTCCCCCTGCGCCCTTCTCCCTCCATCCTTCTCCTTCATCTTCCTCTTTCGCCTCTTCTCCCAACATTTCTCCTTGCCGTTTCCTTTTTTGATCACTTAAATTAGCATATCCGCATTTCCTAATCTTAAATTTACTTGAACTTGTTTCTCGTTTTCTTGCATAGAAAGTATTTTAGAAAATGTCCTTTTCCTTTTAAATTAAATAAAAGCTACAAACATTGCTTTTGAACCAAATTTTTTTATTTGCTTTTCATTGATTTTCTAATTATGCTCTCTAATTCTATTTGCAGTAAACCAAGAGTCCTTCATATGCATTTTTAAGGCATTCTGCTTATACCTTTTTTCTCCCTCTTTCTTTAAATGCTAATGAGTATCTATCTATTCACTACAGAACACAAAAGTTTAACAATTTCACCAAAACCTGCTCCATTCATGAAGAATTTTATCAAAATAATCAAATAACTAATGTTTCTAAATTACTTTATTCTTTTCTATGCAAACGGTAAGAACTTTAATTGGAGAGATAAGCTTCGTATTATTTAATTTTAAATCCATGTTCAAGTGAGAAATCCTATAACTTATTTTGACCCTTGGGACATGATGATCTTAAGGCGACATAATTATTTATGTGAACCCATAACTATTTTATTGTTAGTTCTGTGAATTGATTAAAGTCACTTTTTTTGGTATCATTGCAAACTTATACAATGGTATTCAACTTCTAATAACCTTCAACTTATTACTCATGATGCGGATATGTTAAAAACTTGCTCAAATTTAAGATTAAAACCCTGTTTGATAACCCAATTTAATACTTAAATTTAATTAATTCAAATTTTAAGATGTTCGAATACGTTTGATAATCAAAAAATAGAATATGGGAATTAACTAAGATCATCTTTCATAATCAATTCATTACTTAAATTTAATAGGTTCAGATCTTGATATGTTCAGATGTATTTGATAACCAAAAATAGAACATCTGAATTAATTAAGTGGCAATGAAATTTCTAGGCAAAACTTGCTCCAAAAAATAAGTGGTGAGCTATTTACTTATCACTTAATGTGATATATACTCAAATCATTTAGTAGTTAACAACTCAGTAGCTTAATGGATTCATACTTTAAATTTCAATATTTAGGCTAGTAGCTTAATGGATTCATACTTTAAATTTCAATATTTAGACTTCAATTTTATCAAACGCACAAGTGGCATTGAATTTTCTAAACAAAAGTTGCTCCAAAAATAAATAATAAACTATTCACTTATCATTTAATATGATACACACTCAAATATATCGGATCTACTACTTAACAATTTAGTAACCTAATAGATTCAGACTTCAAATTTCAAATTTTAATTTTATCAAACGCACCCTAAGACTACATTATAGCACAAATACACAATTATTCAATTATTTTTTCTTCTCTAAGCTGCAACTGCTAATAATATTCGCTATGATACATTTAGTTAGAGGAAAAATTCAGCCACAACTTGACATGTTAAGATTCATGTTTTGATGGGAAAGTAACACAATAGAAGTCCTTTATTTTAGCATGTTTATTGAATATGAAATTTGGTCCATTACGATTAAGCTATTATCATAATTAGTGTGGGCATATTAAAAAGATGAAATGAAAAAAAAACAGAGTGAGCGGCACCAAAATATAAATTATCCAAGACACTCTTATATAGTGTATAGATCTAAATTAATTTCTCAATTCTTATCATCTTTCTAAAAAAAACCAGAGTTTGGACTTTTCAACACTAAAAAATTTGAAGCAATAATCAAAAAATCAATTTTGTTTTTAATTAGCACTCTTGGCACCTTGAGAGTCAATACTAGGCTATAGTCAAATAATTGAACAACCTGAAATTGCCCAAACAACCTGAAAATAAGTACAAGCATTTTGAGGTCATCTGTATTGATGCTATGCTTTTGGTACTAAAAGAATTTTGCTCCCATTGTTCACTCACCTCACCATCATGGCATCATTGTCATCCCTCCTAAAATCCCTCTCTTTCCTTTCCCTCTCAGACCAAAATCCATCCCTTTCCCTTAAACCCCACCAAAAGGTCCAAAACCCCTGCTCTCCACAACTCCCTTTTTCTTCATCCTCGTCTTTCCCTCCCCAATTTCTTCTTTCCACTGCAAACCCATCACCCGACCAGCAATCCCCTTTGAACCCACTTCCCAAAACTCCCATTAATCCCCAATTTTACCCTGCTGCTGATTATTCTCCTTCTCCCTCTTTTGAGTCCCTGATCATATGCCCGTCACTTGCCTATGCAAATGTATACTTCTTCAAAGATAACTTCCGCATTGTCTGCGGCGAAAATGAATCTGAGCATCAGATTGCTGACCGCTTCATGAGAGCTACGGCGAGGTCTGGCGTCTTTTATGAAATGAAGCGCAGGAGATTCTTCCAAACCCCTAGGGAGGAGAAGAAAATGAAGTCTCAGCTCGCTGCCAAACGTCTGAAAAGGTTCTTTGGAGTTAGGACCTTTCTCTCTCTCATATTTTTTTTTGGGTGTTTTTTGGGATAATCAATGATAGCCCAGATGTTGGATTTTTTTGTTATTAGGTCAAAGATGAGGGCTGCCAGGTTCCGAGAAGCTGAGCCAAAGAAACCAAGAATCTTGATGGACCCAATTGAAGAGAAGAAGAGGAATGCTCGAATTGCTGCCAAACGACGCTCCTCCAAAAAGTTAGTTTAAAACTCAACTAGTCTGTCTTTGGATTGGCGTGGGTGTGCTTGTTTGTTTGTTCTTTGGGATAATAAATGCTGAAATGTCTGTTTGGACGTAATAGATGCCTGTAAATGTTGATGATTGTCTTTTCCAATTGTAATTTCTGAGCTTGAAATTATGGTTTCTAATTGAGCCTTAGTGATGTTTATTTAAGGAGAATGATTTTTGCATTGCCCCTATTTGCTCGGATAACAAAAATTTACCACATTTCTTCTTGTATTGTTATTAGAATGCTAGATGATTCAATTGAGTGTTCTTTCCTCTGTTTTTTCAGATTTCTTTGGGGAGAGGGATTGAGTTAATGGAATGGGAAACCAATGGGAAGCTAAAAGGGAAGGGCGAGAATTATTAGCAGCAATTATTTGTGTTTGGAATACAGGGAGAAAAGAAAAGAAAGGAATTAGGTCGAAATTTCCTGTTCTAAGAGAGTGTTCTAAATACTCAAAATGTTCTGTAGAGACCTTGAAAGAGGGCCCATCAAGCTCATGGAGAAGTTTCTATTTTCCTGAAACATTTTGATATACTAACAAATGAATCAGCCGAAGGATGTTTTAGTTTCCAGAAAATTGATCAGAACCATCATATGATGTTTGATTTCTTTTCTTTCTCTTCTTGCTTGAATATCTGGACCCTCAAATTTTGTCTATTTAGTTATGTGTTTAAGGGGAATGTGCATAAACTGACTATGATTATTATCTGATGATGTTTCAAAAATATATGAAAACCTCTTTTGACTGGAACTGTTGGCATCTGTTTATGAATTACCGAAAAGAAAAAAAACTGCTTTAACGAGGTAAGGATTATACATGGCCGGTTACAGTTCCTTGACGAAAGATTAGTATAGCATAAACTAGGCCGTGGATATAAAACAGCTTTATAGTTGATATGTTGAGTTAAGCTCGATCTACCATGCATTCAGCACATGGAATTGTTACTTTATCTGTACTACCAGGAACTTATAGGCGTTGTATATACCCAACCTTTATTTGTGTGGGTGCATCTTGTTATGGAATGAGGAGATACATTAACATCTTCTTTTTGGAATTTTTATTGTTTTTGTTTGTTTGGGGAGGAGGGGGGGTGGGGTGGACATAAAATTTGATTGGACTTGGGTGACAATTCTATAGCAGCAAACATGAGGAGATACAACTTTTGTTCTCTACATTTTCTTTTCAGTTTTGTTAATGATTGTGGCCATGTAGGAGAGTATATGAATAACAACTAACCACCTGCCTCAGAGTTTCATTACTGATACATAACCTCTTCTACTTGTGGAAAGTCAGACAGTGGATCCATGTTTGAATTGGTACCTCAAGTTATAATCTTGATGAAGAGTCGAAGTACTAATGACGTCCCTTTATCATACAGCATTTTGAATCAATTAGAGCTGGTTTAATCAGAGCACTGCTTCAAAAGTATTTTGTGATGGACATAGCTTTTGCGGAAGGAAGTTCTAATAGAAGAAGAGAATGTTATAATTTCATCTGTTGTTATTTTAGCAGAACAGGACCTCCTGCAGGTCCTTCGAGTGGACATATATATATATATATATATATATATATATATATATATATATATTTATATATATGAAAGTTTCTTGTTTAGTGTTTGCTTAACCATTTGATTGTTAAATTTAATGCCTGCATACAAACTGCCTGATGTGTATTGCCTGCTTCTTGAGTAAATTTGCTAAGCCTTTTATTCCAACTGGATCAGGCGCTCACAGAGGAAGGAAGCCAAAGAGAAAAAGGAGCTGATTGCGAAGAAGGAAAGCTACATCTCAGACGATGATAATTGGGAGTTTGTCGACGTATAAGTTCCCTATACCTGACCACCTTGGTCCAATTGCCAAAAATCTGGCAGTGGTCAGAATTGATACCTGTAGTTTTGGATACAGATCCTTAGGAGAATGGATTGCTTGATACCAAATGAAACTACAGCTGGGTAGCTGTTTATGATTTATCAAAGCCCTCAAAATATATGTAACTCTATCCATCTTTAGGATCAACTAGTTTGTAAGCTAACGCTCTTACATGTCCTTGGCATGCTTTCTGCACCTTTAGATCTCCAAGTATGAAGTCCACCATGTTTTTGCTGCAGGGTGAATATTATTATCTTGTTTATCTTGTAGTCTGTACACAATCAGGTGTTTTAGATTTTGTTAAGATATATTTGCCTTTAGTAGTTTATTTTTTAGTAGTTAAGGTATATGGTTGCCTTTAGTAGTTATGAAGTCCACCTTGGGTATTTTTTTTTTTTTTTTTTTTTTTAGCCAATAAGACATCCATCTAAATTTCTAGTTTACTAGTTTAAGTTTAGGGGTAGGGGGGGGGTTAATTCCCCCATTTCTTTCTTCGTTTGACTTTCATGCACTCCTGTAAAATAGAAAAATCATTTGTCTAGCAATTGTCCGGGGGTACTGAATATAAAAGGCTTTAACCTCTAGTTTGATGCGCAGCACGTGAAGGGTTTTTTTTTTAAAAAGAATGAGATGAAACTGTCATCAAATAGATTAAAAGAAAGGGGACAAATATTACGAGCGTGTTGTATCTATAAATAAGTAGACTAGGTGGTGGTTTGAAAAATTAACTGAAGATAGCTCGTAGGTGAGTTAAAACTCCAAATTCAGAGATGAGTGAGTTTTATTGTGGCTTGTGGGTCTGTTTTTTCACATTTCAACAAAAGAAAAAGACTTGTTAATATAAGTTAAATTAAAATAGATATTCCGATTACTCATATGCTAGAAAATTTTTGATAAGATAACGGTTTGAATCCATTCAATTCAGATCCAAACCTATTAATTTTAGACAAATTCAGACCCAAACCGTTATGGTTCTGAAAATGTAAATCAAAATCCGAACCCTCTTGAATTTGGATACTCAATGGGTATTTGTGAATTTTTTTTTTCTGAACATACAAAACTAAAGCAAAAATATTTTCAAACACAGATAGACTTTAAAAATAATATAAATAGTGTCCAAGTTTTATTGTGACGCTTCACCCCCTAAAATACTCTACGAGACGTATATTGTGATGCTTGCATAATTTTGTCAGCCACTTTTCCAAGAATTTCTTCGTGCTAAAAATCAAGAAGTTGGAGGGAGATTTGGCAAGCTTGATTTCCATATACTCAGTGAGCACCTATTGATAATGGACTTGCAAATATTAGTAAATCTGGGATTTGCCGTTAATTCATTACATAGCCATAACCATAGGCTTAATTACTAATTAACTGACAAGATGCAGCCTGTTACTGATGCTTTTATGGTGTAGTAACTTTTCCTCTCTAGTCTAAGCACAGGCTAAATGGGAAAGGGTAGCAGACGGGTAGGAATTAGTGCTGTTAATCGAGCCGAGTTGAGTCAAGAATTTGGTTGCCCAGCTCGACTCGAGCTCGCACGATTAGGCGGACGAACTTTGAAGTGTGTTCGAACTCGACTCGCCAAATGGGACATGCGGCTGGAGCTCGAGCTCGACTCGTTTATCACAAACGAGTCTCGAGCTCGTGCAAATTGAATCCAATAAAAACTTATAATTTTCAATTTTTATATTTTTAAATTGCGAAATAACATATATATCCTTCCTTATCAAGCCTAATCGAGCTACTCGGATAACAAAAGAGTTGAGCTTATTCGACTTATTAATTAAACGAGTCGAGCTCGAGCTTAACTCATTTACCACAATTAACGACCCGAGCTCGAGTCTTATCGAATCGAGTTCAATCGAGCTTTCGAGCTGCTTGTTCCATTTAACAGCTCTAGTAGGAATTCATCAACTCATCGTTCTTTTAGACAGCATACAATAATATCTGAAACACTAAACTTGATTAAAGAAAACCAAATGCACTTAGAAAATGTTGAAACACCTTCTGTATTAATTGGATTATCAGGATACAGCTATATTTAACATCCCAAGCTATCTAACACAAAACGATGCTCGACTTTACAAAAGCACCTACCAGAAAAATTCTTCACTAATCATCTCATCAGTAACTAATTTATCGAGTAACATGAATTGGCTGTGACACAAACCCATTCGTCTATGGTTCCATGGGAGAATCAGGGAAAGAATACCAACCGGTACAAGTTTGTACAGGGTCAAACTAATTGCCAGAGCTTTGTCAATCTTTCTCCTCAGCCTTTTCTCTCAGCAACCTAAAGTTCAGAAGGCAAATGCAGGACCACTTCAAATATGCTCAGCAACACAGAGTTTCGTCATATTCTTGCAAGGGCCATTCATTTGTTTAGGCAGCCAATTCATTCAATATAGCATAATCGATATGCTATCAATCCCAAGGCATGATAGTTTTCAAGGGAAGTGAAGAGTAAATCATGGTGTCAGAAAAAACAAAAAATAGCTCTCCAGTAAATGCCTGATATGTCAATTGCTCCAGCATTTCACTTTTTAGCAGGGTGCAAATTCAATTTAAAAGGATTAAATCAATGTAACTGCAACACGATTACAAAAGGTGATGCATCAGTAATACAAGTTTTCTAAAAACAAAAATTTGAGAGTTACCTTTTTGCTGGCAATATTCATGGAAAGACTGTAAAAGAATGTGATTTTCTCCAATGGAGTAGTTAGAGTTGCCACAATACAAGGATTACAAAACTTAGCAAATAGAAAAGGTCATTTATCAGAAAACGACAATAAACTGTCTATATGTATTTAAGGAACTTCAAAGACGGAAAGGAGGAGGGTAAGTCAGCTACTTCAGAAAAGAGGAATAAATTTGAAGGTTGTGTGTGTGCATTTCCAATTTACACATCAAGAATGCCTATCTTACCCTGATAGACACCCCGTAGTTCAGGCACTTGCTCCTCATAAAGAGTGACAAAGTTTCGCAAGAAGTTCTTCTCCCTAACAGAAAATATAGAATATAAACTTAAGTTCTTCTTAATCAAGCCTTTCGAGTGCAAGAGATGAATAACAGAGCCTCTAGGAATAATCCTTTTCTCCACACTCAAAGTGACAAGGTGGGGATACCTTGCAACCACCTGGGAATTCCATCCCATTTTATTCACCATAAAGTCCATTAACTTGGTAAGCTTCTTCTCTGACACGAGCATACAGAAAGGTTGCCCTCTGTATGCCGAACGAATTTCATCTTCAGACCAACCCCAACTACTATAGATTTCATAATTGCGTGCCCATCTCGATCTATTACCCTTACCTGATCGAGCAAGTAAGGCGATCATAAACATTGATTTTGAAGGATCAAATCCCATTTCCTCAACCTGGGATAAAGCTTCTGCAAACTGATCATTGTCTTGCATCATTGCGAGAGAGAAATGAGCCAATGACATTCTAATATGCTTTTCTGGCACTCCAAGTTCTCGTAGCATAGCAATATTTGAAGTAAGGTTCTTTATCGGATTTTTACAAAAAAAGGCATTACGCCACATAGCAGCACTGGCAATCCTAGCGTCCGTTAAAAATATGCTCTTGAAGCAATTAAACATAGGTAAAATTGTATTCTTCAAGCTGTATGTCAATAGATGGTGGTTCGCTGAAAGATAGTTGGTCAGGTCAGTTCTAGAAACCCACATAGACCTGAAAAACTCAATCTTGGGCAAAAGTGTCTTCTCAGGATTGTATAAAAGAATCTTAGGCGCAGATATCACAATTCTAGTTATGTGGATACTGCTGAATCCTTGGTCCCTGAGAAAGGTTAAAACAGCATTTGGCTTCTCAGGGGATTCAAATTTCACTCTTTTAGAAAGCAAAAAGGCCTTTTCTTCTGACAACCCACATGAGTTCACAAGGTAAGAGACAGTAAAAGAATCTGATTTACCACCATTCTTATTTCTTGTTTTCAGACCATACCCAGAATCAATTGCCTCAACAAGACTACTGTAATTGATAGAGCACTGGTTGTCAAACATTCTTGGACCAACTGGGTTTGAAAGTAATCTACTTTTCTGAAGCAACGTAAAGCATGGAATTGTCTTTTTAGCCAAACTTCTGATTGAAAAGTGTTTGCGAAACAAATATGCAGACCACATGTTTGATGAATTTACTGTAAGAGTAACTAACTTTCTTTTTGGAGCTACAAATAACAAGTTGAGCAGAAAGGGATATCCGGGGTGTTCTGAAATTTGATTCCTCCGGATTGCCACCAGCCTTACGACTGCCTGGTGCTAGCCTGCCAGGTTACTGGGTTACAGCCATAGAGGAAGTAGAAGAACAGCGCAATCATTTTGTGTTCGACAGCCAAACAGTGTCAAATTGAGAGATGAACTAACCCGTCATGTAATAGGTTTGCAATTGGAAAAGAAAATTCAAGTAGAGTTAATTACATTTTACCCCCTTAAAGCACCACTATTGCACTTTTTTCACCTAAACCCCAAATATACATACTTTTATCTTTAATTATGATTTTAAAAAAATTAATAGTCATTCTCTACGTACTTAATAAAATGTCCTACCAAAAAGGCCATGTTTCTTTATCCCAAAAAAGTACATATTTTAGTATTTTACCGCCTCGAAATCGGTCAAAACAAATGTATATAATAATTGATAATTTAATTATGAAATGACAAGCAAAACTGTCACCAATTTATGCAGAGATCTTTTTATCTTTTGGTGCAAAAATATATATATAATCCAAGATACAACTTGGTCGATGCAATTCAAATTCTTCACCACCAATTGAGCAATGTCATTAAATCCGTTTTTTTTTTTTGCACCATTTTTAAGAGATCTATTTTTGAAAAACTTGCCAATAATATTGGATTTCAAGCGACTTGTTTCTGACAGGTGAAATTGTAAAACAAAATCGTAAATGTCAGATGTCATTTGAAGGTATGTGCACATTAATCTGTATGATTAGCCTATGCTACATGGCCCCAAATCCATTGTAATCAGCATGTACACATTAAAGTGAAGCAGATGTACAATGTCTGCACGACAGCAGTCATCAATGATATCGATGATGGCTTGAAAACATGAGCCAAGCTTTGTGCGTATCCAGTAAAATTAGGGATCTCAGCAGCTAATATTTCCACAGGGAATGTGCAGGATGGAGTTGAAGGATCATCTGAGACTATCTTACCATATCCGTTGTAATAACACGATTTGTTGTATACACTTTGAGCTGCCTTCTGGAAGCCCATATTAAAGGCATACGAAAGCCTCTGCATGTATGTCAAATTGCTACATGAACCTCCAGGATCCAATGCCGTGCAATCTGCAGTGTCACATGCGTACTTTACTTGATCATCAAAAACATTATAAGCAATTTTACCAATATCTGATGCGTATCGGTCATTGAAAATGCACCACCTTTTAGGCATACGTGTAATGCCTATAGCTGGTACTAGCTTGACATCGCGCCCAAGCCCCTGAAGATCAAAGTTAAACTTAGGCTGTCCATCAAATTTGTAGATACCCCAGTGTCGCATGAAGGACCCGGCATTCTTGTTTATCTTATTTTCATCAGATAAATTATGGACATAGACATCAATCGGACCAGGATGTCGAGGAGTTCCTTTCTTACTAGCTACAAATTTAGCCAAGCCCTGATAAAATCTCTGTGCATTTGGGATGTTTCCATCTTTTATTCCATCTGTTGGCCATCCAATTGCGTCTATAATGATTGTCATGTTTGAACACCCCACTTTCTCTAATGCAACATCGAACATATCGTACATGACCTCTACAACATTTGAATAGGTTTTGTCCCCATCTTTGAACACTGAGGTGGAGTTGTTCTCAAGAAATGCAAATTCAATGTCACCGTTGAACAAATCATTAACATTAACGAGTGGGAAAATGACCACTCCAATTGGAGCATTGTAGCTCTGCAGAATCTGACATGACCTAGTAATGTTTGGCTCTAAATCTTTTCTGAAAGCACCCTCTGATGGTTTCTTTGCAGAGATGAGGACATCAGTGAAATGACTCATTGTTGCTTTAATTTCACTTCTATTCATTAAATTAAGAGCTTGTTGCATCCAGTCCAATACCTGAATAGCTTCAGGATATGTTTGATTGAAAAATCTTGTCGATAATGGCTGCGTCCCAATGCAAACATACCTATAAAAAAAATTCAAACAAAAGTTGACCAAAAATGAAAATATAATCAATAAGAGAGCTAAAAAAACAAAGGAGAAATTAAATTGTTAACCATTAAATTATACTCAAATTTATAACCAAAAATTCATCTAATAATATCTCTTTCAAGGTGTGACGGGAGTTATAAGGTACAACATCCAGATTCATCCAGTGGCTAAGTAATGGCTCTTAAGAGTCTTGCCTCACCGTCAGCAGGGAGGATCAAATTCTAGGCCTGGAAATTGGGGGTTGGGAGTTCATAGAAAGAGGTAGGAGCTATTCAAAGAAAAACATACATGAAATGGACATTGGGATGCCTTACAATAATCTGAACCACCCACTCATCCACATCAGCCTGAGTTTTCATCTTCTGTGTAGATTGATTAGGCATTGTGATTTCCAGTCCAATGTCAATCGTTGAAAAGGCTTCCAAGACATTGTCACTTGCACTGAAAAGCTTGACGTAATTGATCTTGTTTTGCATCAGCAAGTCAACCACCATGGATGGTATCATTCTTTGTGTTGCCAACCTTCCCCAATTCATACCTAAATAACCCTCTACAAAAAGGGTCTCCAATGAAAGAAATGAAATTGCACATATTAAGAGATTGAAGCCGTTCATCCCACTTTTAATATCAATATGTGGAGTTCAATCTGGTTCCCCAAATGAGGAAGAAAATTCGAAAAAGTGATAATTGGCATAAATATAAAAAAATGTACCAAAAAAGAGATGGTTTATCACAAGTTCTATACAGGTAATCAATCAGGAAAACAAGGAATGACAACCACTGAAATTGTATTGACAACTGTTGAAGGAAAAAGGTAAATTGAAAATAAGTGGTTCCCTTGTAGATTTGACCAACTAATACTACTTTTTTATTTGGCAAGTAATGTTTTCTAAATTAGGGAAAAAAGGTAAATTGAAAATAACGGTTCCCTAGTAGATTTTACCAACTAATACTACTTATTTGGCAATTGATGTTTTCTAAATTAGTGAATTCCCTAGAATCTGGTTTCTATTTAGCATTGAAATAGGATACAGATCACAAACATAACCACTCAAGGTCCTCAAGGATCCTCCAGCTTTTTCTTTTTTTTTATTTATTTTAATGTAAGTGGGAGATCTTGAACTAGGGAGTTTTCATTTACACTCTCTCCCCTCCTCTCCTCTCCCCCCAACAGCCTCTAGTTCTGAACAAATATAAGACATATTTGATTTGATTATGTCATTCTCTAACCTAAAGAGATACAAAACAAAATCTTCAAAAGTTATAGGCTTATATAGCTCTACAACAAATATATCGATTTTTTTCGACAACTAATTAAATGATTTTAAGAAATATTTAAATATGAATTAATTTTTATATATTGATAATGTATACTTTATTATAGTTGGATGTATGATAACTAATCCGAATTCAAATTTAAAATTTGGTTATGTATTAAAGATGAGTAAAAAAAATAAGAAATCAATTGACGAAATGATTAAATTCTTACAAATAATATCTTATTTTTAAGTATTTGATAAATTTTGTAGATTCAACGTAGATATACCCGTTTTTCGAAGTTATTACAAAATTTGTCAACATAAATAGGATAAGAGCCAATAAGATTCAGCCGAAGACATGTGCTGTTAGGGGTGCAAGCGAGTTGAATCAAATTTTGACCGAATCAAACTGAGCATCGACTTAATTTTATTAAGGGTGGATAAAAATACCCGCTAACCCAAAAACCCACGACATTTGATCCTATCCGATTCGAAAATTAAAAATTAGATCCGTATCATTCGATCAAATCAAAAGAGGATTAGGTACCTACTTAGATGTGGGGCAGGTTAGGGTCACATAATTAAAAACTTACAGATACCCGACTCGTCTTTCATATTTTTTTTAATTTTTTTATTTTTATAGACATATTATAAAATAATATATTTAGAACTAAATAAGCAATTTCATTGAACAAATTGCATTGCAAATGTGGGAGACTATAGTTTCTTATAAAATTCATTTGCAGAGGTCATGATCTTATGTTTTTTAAAAAACAGTTTAATTAATGTAGACTATATATATTTAAAAAAGGTGCTACTTATTTCAAATTTTTATTGATTTTAAATTCTTTTAATTTTTTTCCTTTTTCTTGTATTCTCTTCACCTGTTTGTTTCTTGGTATGAGACTTTTTTTTAGAAAAAAATCTTTGTTAAATGTTAGATGAACATGTAAAATAAAAAATTAAATTAGTATAAATTATTTTTTAAAAAAATTAATTGTTAAGCAGCGAAGTGGGTACCCATTGACTCAATCCTACTTCGGAGAGTACTCGATAATCAGTACTCGTTAATATGCGGAATGGGTAAGAGTTAGAAAATGGCTGACCTGCAAGGTGCGGGACGGGTCAGTCAAATGGTGCATGGAGCGAGTAACCAACCCATGCCCACTCCTAAATTTTATCAAGCTCAAGCTTAAACTCAAGCTCTTAATGTAAAGCTCGAGCTTGAGCCGAGTTGAGAAAAAATGAAAATTTTGTTTTATTTTTAAAAAAATGAATAAAATATTTGGGATATATATAATTTTACTATTAATATATATATATGTATTTATGTATGTATAATCGAGCTACTTTGTGAGCTAATGAGTTAAGTATTTTTGAATTTGAATTCGAACTCGAGTTCAACTTAGTAAGTTCAAACTCGACTTAAACTCGATATTGATTGAACTTAATCCGAACTTTGAATTGAGCTACTCATGAACGGCGCACGAGTGATTCAACTTGTGTGCAGGCCTATGTGCTGGGAACCGCGTGATTTTTTTTTTATTCCACTTCTTTACTTGGCTCCCTGGTTCCATATGAGTTACTTGTGGCATTAGGTGTAAGGCGTCTAGACATTATCTCTCTCAAAATTTATCTTCCTTGGTTCCGCTTCTTTCTTCTCCTTTATGTTGAACTCTCTACTCTTTTCTCATTCTTTCCATTCTATTTTCTTCCCTCTTATTTTTCTTTTCTTTTTTTTTCTTCTTTCCTTCTCCCTATTACCGAGGGATCTTTCTTCTCTAATAATGTTTTGGATAAATTAATTATAACCCCCAGTGATTGTATATAATGTCAAATGACCCCTCTAAAGGTTTAAAATAGCCATATAACCCTCCTATGATTTTATGTAAAGTGAAAAATAGACGGAATGCACAATTAATTATGATG